TGCAAGACCTTGAGGAGAGTAAATAAGAGGGAGAATATTTCTACTAGCAGGACGGCCAGTAAACAGAGGACATAAACCTAGGTTAATTAGCAAACTACCAGATGGGAGATGTAAAGAGATGTGTTTGTTCCCTCCCCACCACCCTGTGAATTGTTACAAGTTGGAATGCAGAGTTTGAAAGGACAATAGCTAACATTCAAAAGAACCACAGCTTGAAAGGGACATTGCAGGGTAATGGGGAAAGAAGAAGGGAATGGAACCATTTGATAGGCTCATTCAAAAAGCCATTGACAGTAAGATCATTCACATTAGCCAGTACGTATTGTTATTATCAGGCAATGACTCTCAGCCTTCCGCACTGGAAAAGGTCTTTGGAGTCAAGGTCTCTCCAAATAGCATGGCTGGCAATTAGAATCTGTAACAAAGGAGCCTATTTTTTTTGTTATCTCAGTAAACGTTTACCTGAGCTGAGAAGGTCTGTAATACTTTTGATGGTAGACACAACATCTAGGCTTGCACAATGATCTTTTGAACAGGAACAGTAATAAGCAATAAAACACGGTGGATCTGTGACTCTAAGATTACAAAGGGATCTTGATCAAATGGGTCAATGGGCTGAAAAATGGCAGATGGAGTTCAATCTGGATAAATTTGAGGTATTGCATTTTGGTACAACAAATAAGGGTAGGACTTATACAATTAGCAGTAGGGCCTTGGGTAGTGTTGTAGAACAGAAGGACCAAGGGGTGCAGGTACATAATTCTTAAAGTTTGTGTCACATATAGACAGGACGGTTAAAAAGGTGTTTGGCACGCTCACCTTCATTGCTCAGTCCTTTGAGTATAGGAATTAGGCTGTTATGTTGAGATTTTACAGGACATTAGTGAGGCCTCTTCTGGAATACTATGTCCAGTTCAGGTCACCCAATTATAGGAAGGATATTTTCATGTTGGAGAGGGTTCAAGGAGTGATTTACCAGGATGTTGCCGAGTATGGAAGGTTTGAGTTGTAAGGAAAGGCTGGATAGGCTGGGACTTTTTTCATGGAGCATAGGAGGTTGAGAGGTGACCTGATAGAAGTGTATAAAACAATGAGAGGTATAGATAACGTTGATAGTTGTCTTTTCCCTAAGATGGGGAATTTCAAGACTAGGGGTCACATTTTTAAGGTGAGAAGAGAAATATTTAAAAAAGACATGAGGCAAATTTTTTATACAGAGGATGATTAAAGTGTGGAATGAACTTCCTGATGAAGTGGTGGATGCGGATACAATTAGAATATTTAAGACATTTGGATGGATATAAGAATAGGAAAGATTTGGAGGGATATGGTCCAGGAGCAGGTAGGTGGGACTAGTTTAGTTTAGGATTATGTTCAGCATGGACTGGTCAGACCGAAGGGTCTGTTCCCATGCTGTATGGCTCTAAATAAATACTTTTGGTCAACAAAAATTTTCCATCCTCAGATTAAAATTAACAATGGATTGAATATCAAATGCTGATGTAGAAGAGAGCTTTAAATTTCTTCCGCACTTTGCGTTGAAATAACAGTGAGTTCCATCCCTGAAAGGCCTGACTCTCATTTTCAGAATGTCTCCTATTTCAAGACTTGCCAAATAGCAGAAATATTTTCTCTCTATCTAGTCCATGAATTCTCATTAATGCTTTATAAAATTTCAACCGAATTAACCGTTAACTTTCTAAATTTCATGGAATACCAATCTAGTTTGCATCATTTCTCAAATTAAAGCCTTGAAGTGCAGGCTGACTTGTCACTGGGAGCTGGAATTCTTCCCAAGTTCCAGATAGCACGCATAGAGGTAGGGCAGTCACAGCAAATATAGAGATAGGGCAGCCATGGAAAATAAGCAATGAGCAGTTTATTAGAGTTTTGTCATGGTATGCCTCATGCTTTTGGCTGGTTAAATTCCAGCAATACCAGTATACAGACTTGGCAATTACTAAGCTTTCTCTTTGCCAACTTGCACCCAAGACTTACATGCTGCTGAACAGTTGGAAAAGCCAAAGCATGAATGACCCTACTGTGGATAAAATTACCTGTATACTAAAGCATGAGGCAGTTGGTCCAAAAAGCAAAATTATTCTTCAGGCTCCTGCAAATTGAGAAGATAAGTTTCTTACTGATTGTTAACACAAAGTTTAGAAGTTTCAGAACCAGAGTTGGCTGCCAGCCCTGCATAATCCAAATAAAAGCTGGTGACAATAGTCTAACATTTTTCCCATCCTAGTTTCTAAAAGTTGGGGTTTGGATTGCTGATGGGTAAAGCATAGCAATGGTTTGCCATTGTTGCCTTCAGGATGGCTGACCAAGAAACTCTCCCACTTTTTTAACACCTGGCATCAGATGTATAAAAAGAATTTATAAGCTAACAATTAATCTCTAGGCCACATTACAAATCCATCTTTCCTAGTCAGCAAGTTCTGGCATGGGCTAAACCAGGAGCTTCTGGCTCAGAGGTATTAATGTGCCATAAGGCTTGGTAGAAGCCAAAATCTGACTCCAGCCTGATGGTATAACAACTGTATAAAGCTCAGTAAAAATGAGCAAACAGCTGAAATCAGGCACTTGTATGTTTCATTAACTAGATGTAGTCAATTAATCAAGTAATTGGTTTCAGCCACCATGTAGTAAATGGAATGAAACATATTCAAAGTGACAAGTTATTGCAAGTTTAATTTTTTCAGTGAACCAAACCTCCAATGTTACACTCAATGAACAGTTACGCAATGTGTACATGTGGGAACATACGACTTTACTACACTATTATGGCTGTAGCTAGTGCACAATGTAATAAGAATGTAATGCGTTTCTTGCTTTTTGTGATGTGTTGTTTGGTTGATGCTTTCTTCATTAGTAAAACGGCCACAAATAATACATCTTGCATTCAAAATCAGGATATGGAACGTCAGTGGATCAAGGTGCTGTTAATGACATCCGATAGATCTTTTCACCAATCAAAAACTGACACTATTGGCTTTCAGCTGTTTTCATATTTTACTTAACTGACAGTTTAATGCAAGCAGCTTTTGCTTTTTCTCCCGTTTTTAATCTATCTGTCAGTACTAATAGACTTTTCTCTTTCCTCATCAGTGAGCTACAGGGATTTGCATAGATGTGGTGAGATGGAGATTCAAATTAACAGCATGCTCCCTTAATAGCCCATGTGTTACATATTCTTGTGATAAGTCATCTTCCTGCCTAAACGAGTCTGTTAACTGTGGCATTTGGTGTGAGAGTAATGTAGAGTGCTGTGTACCTTTAGCCTGTCAGTACTAATCCTGCTGGTAGCTGTGGATACTTGTTGGAATCGTTTCTAGTGAGTCTTAATTTGTTTTTCTTTTCGTTTTCTCATGCAGATCTTTAGGGATCTGGAAACCATATATGTTAACTTTATCACAACTTATTTTTCTTAAGAATGCTACAATTCAGTATGTGTTGTTCTCAATAGTTTGTATCTTGCATGCTTTTTCAACAGTAAAAACCTGCAGGAGTAGAGTTTACATATACTGAAAGTTTCAAAAAAACATTTTGGGTAAAGAAATGATATGGTTCTCAGCATTTTTGCAGTCATTTACATTTTTTGTGCTTTTTCATGATTAACTTTAACTTTATTGGTTAAATTGTATTTGACTCCACTGTAAACTATTTATTACAGTTTAAGGAACCAGGAACTAATTGCTATGTGAATGTACATCCCAGAGTACCATGTATTACAGCTAACAACATATCAGTCTATTAGTCCATCAACTATATGGACAGTAGTAAAAAATACACTCAATGTAGTTCCAGTGTTTTAAGTCTAAAGTATGAATATTTCCAAATTTTGAGAACTATAAGACATAACACTATTAATTGTATAGCAAGTGATGTCTTAGAGTATACGATAGCAGTGATGGAATTCACTTTATAGGTTGTTCCAATTCAGTAGGAAGTCCTTAACAGATTTTCAGAATCCCTTTGTACTTTTGACTATTTATTATAACTTTATATTTGGAGAAATATCAGCAATCGGCAGAATGCTCCCTCAAGACAAATTTTTTTTAAACTGTAAACATCAGCACTGTTGTTGTAATGAGATTTAAAGTCATGTTTAACTGAATTGCTAGATAGCCTCAGCAATCTTATTCACATCTTTAAATTTCTCAACCTTTTATTTGAATCAACACCTCAATATTGAGTGAGGATACTGCCAACCTCATCATTCCACTGTTCATTGAAACTTGGCACTTCTGGTTAGTTATCTAGAAACCAGAGAGGAAAACAGTAAGACTTTCAAAAAGTTAAATTGTGCTTCAGACTGGGGAAATGAGGAACAAAATCATCTGTGTAAAAGTGGGTGCCACTTGTTCTAATCTGCCTCAGAGTAACAATTGGCATCTGTTTAGATGGTTGTCGTATAATACTGAGCAGTGCAGAACCGGTATGGCCCAACACTTGATCTCAATTTCAATTGAAGTGGTAGGTGTTGGCTGCAGTAACTCTGCACTCGAATAGGTTCCATTGCTGCTGTATCAGGCAGGGAGAAAAGCCAAAGTTTCTGTTCCTTTTGTTCTTATCCAGTAATTCTTGTGGAAAGATGCAGGCATGAACATCAGTGAAGTACAGGAGCAGGCTCCTCACTGCAGTCCTTCATGGTCGACTCAGTCTGGATTCGCCCATGATGAATGAGCACTTTGGCAAGCTGCCTGCAGAATGATACACAAGCATTAGTTAGGAAGTGAAGAAGGGAAAGCAAAGAGGGAGGGAATGGGACCAATAAATAGCAGCTGCTCCATGGCTTCCTTAAGAGCTCCCAATTCACTGGGATGGTGGGGGGTTTACTCTTGGAGTAGTTTCCCATTGCTCTTCCATAATTCTTGCCAAACTGAGACAGAACAGCACGATTTCCACCAATGGTGATTTTTTGGAAACAAACAAATGTGAGCTGTTGCACTTGACAATTATGTTGACTAAAAATTTTCCTTCATTTCTGTTCACAGTAACAACTGTCCGTAGAAGATGAGTGAGCGCTTTGATTGTGATAACTGCAAAGAATCCCTATACGGCAGAAAATACATCCTCTCTGAAGACAGCCCCTACTGTATCCCATGCTATGATACCCTGTTTGCAAATACATGCGATGAGTGCAAAGAGCTGATTGGACATGAAGCTAGGGTAATTACAATGAGTTAAATATGCTTAAATGTATGACTTCCTTTTGTCATTATACTGTTCTCCAACTATTATTGTGCTGTGAATAGTACAATATGCAATTTGTCAAACCTAAGCCACAAGCATGAAGGAAATGCATATTTCAAGTCTCTAATCTATTTTGAGTTTGAAATGGTCCCCCAGTTCCAGTAAGAGACTTTTGCCATGTCACTGAGCAGTAGATGTGCATCGACTGTTGATAAAGTGCCAGTTCTTCAATTTTCAGAAGTTTCTGCTGAACGTGGTATGGAATTTCTGACCATGTCTAAAATTTTTCTCTTTACTTAGCTCAAGTTCCATTGACTTTTCACCTAATTTGGCAACTCAGGGCCCTCATTAACATCTAGTCATTAGAAAATGGTGATAACCTCTCTTTTGTGCCACTGAAATTAATTAGGAAATAGTATTTAATGACTCTGCTGTTGGGAAGCCTGGGATCTGCTGCAGTGAGGGCATGGGGCCAAGAAATTGGGAAAGAATGTATTTCCACTTTGTTTGCTTGACCCCGTTGTGCATCTGAAGGGTAAACAAAATCACTGGTGAGGGAGATCAAATGCATGTTTTACTCATTTCAGAGATAAAGTACATTTTGTTAAATTTTTTCCTCTTGCACACATCTGGATAATTTACAAGAAATACCAATGTAAAGGAAAGCAACATTTATACTGTATGAGAAGAAATTGCTTGGCAATGGACTCAACTAGATCCAAAGGCACACTGGGTGGCCATTTTGTAGAACACCTCTTCTTTACCCATAAGAATGACTCCAACCTTTCTGTTGCTGGCTATTTTGATAAATCATCTTGCTCCCATGTTACATTTCCATCCTTGAGCCCACTAAAGGCTTCCAAGAAGCTTAATGCAAGCTGGAGAAAATATACCTAATTTTCTGCTTAGGCACTCCACAACCTATAGAACTCAACATGGAGTTCCACAGATTCAGAGCATGATCTCTGTCTTCCAACTAGCTTCTGAATGCTCCCCCACTTCACCAACCGCCAACCACCACCACCACCCACCCCCGCAATCTACTGGCCAGGTCTTGTTCGTATCTTGTCTTTGCTCTCAGCAAAGCAGACCCGTTTTTCCCTTTTTCACACTTAATCATTTGCACCACTATCATTCCTTTACCACCATTAGTACTCCCTTTGTCTTTTACAACAAAGTCGCTGGCCCCAAAATGCTGACTCTGCTTTCTCTTCACTGACGCTGCCGGACCTGCTGAGTTTCTCCTAGCTATTTCTGTTTTTTTTATTTCAGATTTCTGGCATCTGCAGTCCTTTTTTTTTGTTTTCCCTTTTGTCTTTTGCTGATCTGTTCCACTTGCTCCTCCTCCCTCATTGTCAACACTGTAAACACCACTACTTTCCAACTTCTCTCAGTTTTGAAGAAGAGGCAACTCAGACATGTGATAATGTTGTTTTTCTCTCTCCACAGGTGCTGCCAGACCTGCTGAGTTTCTCCAGCTGTTTCTGTTTTAATTAATGCTTTCAGACCCTTCAACCCTTTTACATTACCTTCGTTATTGACATTACTTTCTGATCTGGGGTGGCTCAGGTTCCAGCTATTGTACAGTTCTGCTCTGTGCAGGATTTTTCATTGGTTGTCAACCAAAGTCAATTTTTACAGAAACTTTTCAAGTGCTCCTTTGTCTCTACAGTTGCTAACAACTGTCACATTCGATATCCTGCTCTGAGATTTACACCTTTGGGCCATGTTTGGTGAGGGATGTACCCCAATATTTGTGGTGTTCAGTCATGCAAGTTTCCTGTGGAGGTACAATGAATGAGTGAAGGTTGTGTGTAAAATGTTGATGAGCCTTGAGGCCGCATTTCAGACTAACCTTAGCCCCCTAGGTTGGAGTATGTACAGGCCCGAGCCTGGGCCCAACGTCTAAGTCCTCCAACCTAATCATGCTTTTATTCAATGGACCTCCAAGGGCTGTGCTGTAATCCTAACAAAGGTTTATTTCGTGGAGTATCCTGTTTCCATTGTAATACCAAAATGTATATTCTTGTGAATCTTTGTACTTAACATTTTTTCCAAAATCATTAGCATTAATATGCCTTTCCTCAAACGTTAATAAATTATTTCCTGTAATGGAATTTGGGTTCCTGTACAAAATGAGCAAGGCCAGAGCACTGTCCAGTCTGTGAATATTAGCATTTCACCTCAGTAAATAATGTTTTATTGACTTCCCCTGATCTGCATTCGTGATCACACTACCACAGCACAGTAAACTATTGTGTGTCATGATCCTAGTCTTATGCAGTCAGGTAGTTAATCATTTTGAGATTTACATATTTGTTATATTAACACAACTCTGCACTGCTCCAAGCTTCCCATAAACAAATGGTTTTGTGTTTACGTTGGCAGCGCCTGTCTGTATGTTCAGTTTCTTCTCTTGAATTGTTGCTCTTCAAATGCTTTCTCAAACATTTAGCAACATCATTTGTTCGTGAGAGGATTTTGGGAGTGTGGCTCATTTTCCTTTTCTCCCTTGAGGAGTATTTCATTTTGTTGGTATGGCGCCAGGCAACCTTTTAAAAGTATTTATTTTAAAGCGCAAGTCAAGACTTCGAAGACTGCATGTATTTAATGCACTGGACGTTTCTCCATTACTGAATTGTTAGCATCAATTTGTTTCATATCAGTTGATCTGTTGAAGTGAAAACAAGTCTAAAAGAGAATATTTTCCACTTACCTGACTGCCCCATTAATTGCTTCAGAGAGGTCATCAGGAGTGCGGTGCTCTCAGCTTATTGGATTCCACTGTGTGAAATCTGTGGGAAATCAGCAATGTCAACATGCGGGGACCTTTCTTTATTTGGAAGTTTCCAAATGAGCATTTCTCTGCTCTCGTGTTTAAAAGAAAGTGATTTCTAATGTGATCCCCACCCATGTACTGGGTACACTCTGCTCTCCTGGAGAGCCTGATTCATTGGCCTTCTGATCAACATCTTGTCCAAATCATGCAATTTTTCCACGAGTGAGTTTAATTGAGAGTGATCAGGCAATTTGACCATAGGAAGCTTCACAGCCAAACCTGATGTTCGTCGGAACATTCAAATCAATGGAACAGGAACCATGCTACTTTCTTTCCCTTTCCTTTCCAGCCCTTTCTCCTCCTTAGTTAGCATGGCACAGGCAAGAGATCCTCACCTCAGGCACAAACTGGAATACAGGAGAAACAAGAAAGTTGAAAGAAACGCAGAAAATGGAGGGAATCTCAGTAGGTCTGGTAGCATTTGTGGAGACAGAAACAGAGTTAACGTTTCAAGTCTCTTCTTCAAAACTGAAAGGAGCTGGAAAATACAGGGGGATCTGGTCTAACATGATAGACGAGTTCCTGTGAAATGATGCGTTTTAGAAAATTGCGCTTTGAAATAATGGGGCCTATGGAAAAAGGGGATGTTAGGGGCAGACCAGCAAAAAAAAATCACTCAAAATGACTCAAATCACTCAAAAATGTAACACAAAGCCTAGTTGTTGGCTTGCTTGCCGAGCTGGCTGGTTATCATACAGACCCGCTAGCATGGTGACTAAACGTCTGTATGATAAACAGCCAGCTTGGCAAGCAAGCCAACAACGTCAACCACAACTCGAGCTACAAATCTTTGCAAGAACCTTAAACAAAGGATAGTACAGTTTGAACAAATGTTTAATTCACATGTAATAACAAAATAACAGTAAATTTATCATCTTATCTTGAAAAAAATGTCAAGATGACTTGAGGGGGAGGAGGTTCTGAGGTAATTCTGTTGTTAATGCAGGGGCTGAGAGTCATCATCATCACCGCTGTCAGGTGCAGCTTTGTTTGCAGGATTAGGACAAAAAATAGTTAGTCCAGAAGTGGATGGCTGTGGTTCATTGTCTTCTGATTGTTTCTTGGGGGTTGGCTTAAAAAAGGCATCCAGTTTTTGCTTCTTTGCCCTTTTTCTTCTTTCATGAAGAAACAGTTTGTAGGGTGTCAAATAAGATCTTATTCCACAAACTGCAACCCTGCTTCATTCTACATTGTAATCGTTGTCCCCTAATAGTTGCAACTGCTTCTCAGTGTCCTTCAGCATAGAAGACAAAACAGAAGTGGAAAGCTCTCATGGTGCTGCATCCTGGACTTCATCATCTTCATCTCCAGCTTCCACTTCCCCCTCAGCAACAAGTTGTTGTAGATGAGCTGTAGAGGGGTCTCCACAGTGGGGCTCAAGCAGCTCTTCAATATCCTCACTCTCCACTTCTTCAAATCCAGCTTGTTCTGCAAGATCAGCACAATGTTCTTTGATTCTTAGGGGCTTCTCTGATGGATCAAAGCTTTTTACATCTTGAAAAAAAACTCTGGGAGAAGTTTCCGCCAAACTGCATGCAAGCAGGCCTTACTGACATCACTCCAGGCTTCCATGATAATGTCAATTGCATTTTTGATGTTAAAGTTCCTCCCAAAATAGTAGCACACTATCCTTATCCCCCTCAGTGGCTACAACCAGCCTCTTAAATGTGTGCCTTAAATAATAAGCTTTAAAAGCTGCTATTGTACCTTGGTTCATGGGTTGAAGAAGGGAAGTTGTGTTTTGGGGTAGAAATAGCACTTTGATGTTTTCAGAAAGCTCACCAACAGTGGGAGGATGGTTTGGCATGTAATCCAGGATGACGAGAATTTTGAAATCCACATTTTTTTCTCCTGCAATACTGTCTAAAAACATCTTCGAAAACATCAACAGTAAGGTCAGAAAATATTTGCCCAGCCATCCAACCACTTTTGCTTGACCTAAAGTAGATGCCTAGAGTGAACTTAAGGTAACCTTTCAAGACTTGCTGGTTGGCAGAATGGTACACCACCACAGGCTTAAGCTTTAAGTCTCCACTGGCATTGGCACCCAGCAGCACAGTCATATGATCCTTTGCAACCTTAGCGGCTGGAGCATGTGCTTCATTCATGGAAATGTAGGTTCTTCCAGTATAAACCTATCTCATCCAAATTGAAAATTTGATCTAAGTTGTAGCCACCTTTGTCAATCAATATTTTTTCTTACTATGGGAGGAAATGCCATCGCATGCTCCTCATCTGCACTGGCAGCTTCGCCACATAACTTTGTGAGTAACAAGGCAGAATTATACAGTGCCTCTCACAGAAAGCATGAGGACCTTTCACGCCAGCCTGGGGACTGTTTCGGCACGTACTCAAGACAGAGCCCATGACCCAATCGTATGTGTTGACATTGGATTCGCATTATAGTCAACACAAAGTTCGCATTTTACAAATACCGTTCCCCTATTTGTCAATCTCCTTATAACCAATTCACGTTGCTGGAACACACGTTATAGGAGATCCCCTGTAGTGTTTTTTTTTCTCTGTGACATTTTGCAGCCCTTTACAGTTCTGAAAAAGAAACATATCGATTCGAAATGTGAATTCTGTTTCTGTCTCCACAGATGATGTCAGACCTGCTGAGTTTCTCCAGCATTTTTTTAATTTTAATTTTTGTCATATGCAGTATTTTTTGCTTTTTTATGATTTAAAAAAAGTTGCTTCATCTATTGGAACTTAACTGTTATTATTGTTTCAGCAAAGCATCCGACTAATTTATGTTTCGACCACAGAGATTGTTAAAAACATTTTATCATGATTTGAATCATGAAATGCACGCTGCATTTTAAGTGTATAAATAAACTGTAAAACCAACTTGGATATTTTTGGATTGCAGCTGAAACTTATAAAAAACACTTGTCTTTGACCATTTTGCTTAAAAGCTGTGGTGTCAAATCTGGCCATTTGGAGCTAAAATGCTTTTTCAGGGACCAAATTTGCAGAGAAATTTCCAAATTTGCAAGCTTAGTGGCTGAAAGGCTTCCTTCTGTTCTATAACCATTTTGTCATATGAGTGAATTTCTATGTTTTTTTTCACTTCTGAAACAAATAGTTACATCTTCTGTTCAAATAAAATGGTGATGTGGACCCATTCTGTCTAGCATTCATCTTTTTAGTTCCTCGCAAGCAGCAGCACTGTACACATTCAAAAAAATTGCAACACTCTGTCCTTTGTTGCAGATCATGTGCATTCTGTGCAATAAAGGCACTACCTGCCCACTTTCCGATAATTTCAGTGGAAACTGAATCACTGTGATACTATTAGGCAGCAGCCTACAAGATTTTTCATAGAATAATCAAATATGTTTTACAGAATCTTTCTTCTTAATGAAAGTAACCTACATGGATCGACAAGTAGTCTGTAGCAATACCTTCATATTAATGACTGTCAGTTTCACTCACTCTTCTATAACATTGCCAACAGTAAACTAGCTCATCTATTGGAATTATGCAGACCTTTATTTTCAATACACACTGAATTAAAACTGTCCTTTTCAGCTCCTTTCCCCTTTCTGTGTATCCACATAACATGACTTGTGGGTGCACCAGGCAGTTAACCTACTACAGCAAATTGTAATAACAGACTGCTTGAGATCAAAGGCGGATAGAACCTTCACAAATGAGCAGAGCAAAATTCAACTGGGCTCCATTGGAATTATGTCTTATCAGAACTAGATATATTTGAATTCAATAGAATATCACATTGTAAAATAATTTCATTTTGAACCTTTCTCATGAAACATGTGATAGCCTATTATTGTCTGAAAAGAAGGACTTTCAGTTAGCTCCTGTGCCCAATACAAATACTGAAACGGTGCGGGGACAATCAACACAGGAAGTAAGATCTCTGCCCTCTTATGCTGCAGTAATTTTCAATGGAAGCGAGCAGATGTGTTTCAAAAGAATTTAGATACATGGGAATGTTCTGGTGCACACTGCCTTTCAAAATCCAAGCGTGGAGCTTTTTGATGTTTAATTGTAGGTTATTGTGAATGTGTTTTGGCATGTTGTCATGTAACACTTAAGATTGTCTTTGATGTCAGTACCCAGTAGATAGGGGGTCATTGAGACAAGAATACCACGTTATGGAACACAGCAGGAACTCTGGTCAGGTAGTTGGTAAATTTTCTGCTCGGTGGAACTGAGACTGAGCCATCAGAAAGTTCCCAGGTTCAATATTTCATCTTTGTTGAATTAATGGTCCCCTGTCAAGATAGCAGTACAAGCACAATGTCTCATGCCAGCTCAAACATGCAATGTATCCACTTGGCTAAGGTACCAGATTGGACCACTTTCCAACATGTCATCATCTTAAGGAGATATGGTGAGAAAACAGGAGCAAAAGTTGGATGTATTGGTGATGGACAGTGATCCATAATGTTATCATCATGGATACGTATATCTGCTGACATTTACCTGACAAACACTTTTTAAAGTCTATTTGGTGCTCACCATAGACAGATTGAATGTCTTACAGAGATTATAGTCTTTCTATCAGTGTTGTTGTCCCAGTGTTTTAATTTAAGGCTCATCACTTGACCTACACTGCAAAACAAGTTAATTGCTCAATCATCCATCTCATTATTGTTTGTGGAATCTTGTGCACAAATTTAGCTATAGTTTGCTTACATTGACCAAACATAAGAGTAATTCATTAACTGTGAAACATTTGGGGTTATTCAAAGGACGCGAAAGACAAATTCTTTCTTAACATTAGTGATTCACTAGGGTTTCAGAGTCAGCAATGAACCCTCTGAATCATTCAGATAATTTGAGTTATGTTCTTGAAAAGCTGCAGAGTATCATCTCTGTCTGCTTTTTTTTCTGATTCTCAATCAGGAGCTGTTCTACGAAGACCGCCACTACCATGAGCATTGCTTCAGGTGTTATCGCTGTGACAGATCTCTGGCAGATGAGCCATTTACATGTCAGGAAGAAGAGCTGTTGTGCAATGATTGCTACTGCAGTGAATTCTCCTCAAAATGTATTGCTTGTGACAAGGTCGTCATGCCTGGTATGTGCCCTTTAGTCTCATTTGTCAAATGCTTTATTGTCCCTTACCCCCGGGGGTTGAACTATTTTTCATATATCAACAAAGTGATAATACAGTTTTGCATCTTATTTATGAAATGTTTAGAATTAAGATTTTAAGGAAGAATCAGAAAGCTGACCTACAAATGGACCAGAAATGATAAATCCTAAATTGTTTTCAGTCTTCACTCAGCCTGTTGAATTATTTTAGCTCTTTACTGCTGAGCTCAACATTTGTACATTTACATGTGTCTACAGGCCAAATTATACACATTCACCAGCTGCATGATATAGAGCCATTCCAACAGTCTCTCTACGTTATAGCCAGTTAAGCATAACCAACACTGGAAACATTTCATTTTGCAATGAGCAGACAGGAAGATATTAGGCAGCAGAAAATTCTTATTAACACAGAACTGACTGAATCATTCTGATCCTTTAGCAGTATGTTGCAGAACCCAAATCCTTCACTGCTTAACAACAACAACAACTGGTATTTATACAGCACCTTTAATGTAATAAATGATCCTAAGGCACTTCAGAAACACCATTCAAAATAATATTGATGTTAGATCAGGTATCCAAAGAGGCAGGTTTTAAAGGAGTATCGTAAACAAGGAAAGAGACACAGAAAGGGTATTGTGGAACTTGGGTATGAGGCAGCTGAATGCACAGCCACCAATAATGGGATGTTTAAATTAGGGATGCATCGGGAGCCCAGAATTAGAAAGACAAAGATACCGTGGAAGATTTCAAACTGGACAAGAGACAGGGAGGGGCAAGGCCACAGCTAGATTGGAAAACAAAAAAGACTTTAAATAATTGAAATTTTGCTGAACTGGAAGCCAATATAGGTGATGGGTGAATGGGTCCAGAGTGTAAATTAGGACCAGGGTAGCAGAACGTTGGATGTTGTCAAGTTTACTGAGGTTAGAATGTGGGAAGCTGGCCAGGAGTCTGCTGAAACACTCAAGTCTAAATGGAACAAGAACCATACATTAAATAGCCAGCTGTAGATAAACTAAAATAGGAACAGAGTCATTAATGTTCATGGAGGTGGAAATCTGTGGTCTTGGTGATGACAAATGCACTTGTTGGAAACTTGTGATACACTTGTGGACAGTCTGATTCAACCTCCAACATTTGCCAGGAGGAAGGATAGTGTTGGTGACAAGTGATCAAAGACACTGGCTTTGGTCTTCCTGATACTTAGGTGGAGAAATTTTCCCCTCATCAGATTTCAGAAAAGCAGTGGGATAACTTAAAGACAGGAGGTTTGAGAGTTAACAATAGGTAGCACTGGAGCTCCTGAGCGAACATGTGGAAACCGATGTGATTTGGATGATGCACCAATGATAGTGCAGAGATGTGAAGTAGCAGGTGTCCAAGGAAAATTTCTAGGGGGTCACCACAGATAATTGTACAAGATTAGTAAGAGGCCTCATTGTAGATGATTCTCTAGCTCCACTTAGATAGGAATCAATCTCTAGCTGTGTAAAGTACCACTGCGCTGGTTGATGTTAGACAGGCTTTAGGGGATAGTGTGCTTAACTCATGTTAAAGGTACAGATGAATGGAGGAGTGATAGTTTACCTTTGTCATAATCACATTATGATTGCTTGCTTAGGTTTTCAGTGGGGTCTGGCTGATATCATGCACTCTGTCCTGGTATCTTTTATGAAGGACCCAGCATATTCTGATTAAAAAACATATTACACAACAAGGAGACATGGTGTTGGAACTGTAGTCTATTGATCACCCACCATAACTTTGCCAGAAGATTATCAGATACATTAGTGAAACTTGGTAAATGCTCAGTTACAGCAGGAGAAGCTCCATGGAAATTTCAGACAATGCTCTTTATAGATTAAATTTCTGAGAGAATTCTTGTGGTCTGGTATTGGGGCCTTGAATTTTAAGAAAACTGCATGTAAACAGCAAACTTATGGCCCCTGTGCTAGGTAGTCATTGGGTCTATAAGCATGGAAGATTTATAAGCTATGAATGATGATGCTTCACATGGGTGAAGTTACAGCTGAAACTTGTTCCCAACCCTGAAACTAATTCATTCCCACAATTGATAATCTCTCATATTTCTGCTCTTGGGTTAGTTGTAAGACAAAGAAGTTGAAACATCAGAGACTGATCCAGCTGCTACTGATTTCAGTGCTGCCCTTCACCCCTCCCTAGACCTTCTGGTTGAAAATAGTCGTCAAATATGATTAACTCTGGGATCAGTTGGTAAATAGTTGCCAGTACCGTAAAAGAAGAGCTCAACTTTAGTGCTAGGTACATTTTTGCTGAGCTTGGTGGCCTGTGGAAGCATGGTGACAATGAAAGTATGTTGACACTTGCTTCATGTCTAGGAAGGGTAGTAAGACCCAGTAATGCTCTTATGTGCTGGTGAGTACGTGGATTTCCACCACAGTCTAAATGAATATTCTGCCTATACTTATGTCTCTCGGGTCTTGGTGAAGACTTCTGTTTGGGTGAAGTATTATGGGATCTTTAGTATCCAACTCAGCAGCACCTTAAGACGAGCATGGAAAAATCAAACAGTGAGGTCAAGGTACAGTGACAGAATGACGCATGCACTAATATCAAGAGCACAGGCACAAACCTCCACAGTCTAACCTAATTCATCAAACTATATACTACACGTATGCCTTTGAATGCAGATGTGGACGAGAAATCAGGTGCAGCCTGTGCACAAACTTGTGATAACCGTTTCCGCTCTTGGTTATGATCCCAAGAAGCTGAAGACGAAATCCGCCCAACTGAGTCCTTGATGCGATTCTCATTCCATTGTACTGTTGGGTGGATCTTGGTCCAGTCACCATGAAACTCAATTTGCCCAGGGGTGTTGCTCTGTTTTCTGTGATCATTGTGTGATGGTGATTAACCTTTTGTGTGTCAGGTACTCGGAAGCTTGAATACAACGGCAGCACTTGGCATGAAGGATGCTTTATTTGTCACACCTGTGAGCAGCCGATTGGATCCAAGGCCTTTGTTCCTGATAAGAGTGAGATTTACTGTGTGCCTTGCTATGAGAATCATTTTGCTCCGCGGTGTTTCCGCTGCAAGAAGGTAATGCCTGACACTTGATTTGACAAGACTCTAAAGTGTTGTTTACCCCTTCTGGAGGCTGAATGTTCTTTTACTTTTAATTCCCATCCTGGTTACTGTACCTCCATCTCTCAAAATGATTTCTTCTTACTTACTACTCCATTAATATGCTTTTTTTTTGAATACCTTCATTAAATCTTAAGTTAAATGTCTTAACTTTCTCACCTCTAAAAAGACAGTCTCAGCTTCTCTAGTTTCATCTGGCACCATTCTGATAAATCTCGTCTGCACCTTCTCCAAGGCTGTGATAGCCTTCCTTAAGTTTGGCATCCATAATTGGATAGAACGTTTCAGCTAAGGCCTAAATAATGATTTATAGAAAGTTCAACCATCTCTTATTTTTCACTCTTAGTACAATAGAATGATCACAATGTGATCAGGCCTGTGTAATGTTACGTAGTTGAATGTTCTCAATTAGATCCTGCAGCTTTAATGTCAAGAAATATATATATAGGCAGAACTCCAGCTGCAATCCAGCAGCTAAGTCACAGACCGAGTCAGTAACTTACATAAGAGAACTTTTCTCGGTTCGTTGTTTGCCTCTGGTTCATCTCCTATCCAACGCAGTTACAACAGGGCAACCTATGTGCGGCTCATGTAATGGGAAGAAGGAACTTCACTTGAGGGGGAATAACAACATTCTTTTCTCATAATTGCATGACTGTTTAGCCACCTATATAATTGACAGCAGGCTGTCTCGAAAGTGAACTACTGCATCTACCAAGTATCGTTCTCTTGCTACTCTACAGAGTTAGATGGCTTAGAACAGCATACGGTTGGTGTTCAGCCTGGCAGTCCTTTGTTTGAAGAGCATTACTTCAACATTCCAGTTATATTTCTTAAAAGCATGAAGATGTTAGTAGCTTTTGTTTTATTCATTCACGGGATGAGGGCGTTGCTAGCCAGGCCAGCATTTATTGTCCAGAGAGCAGTTAAGAGTCAGCCACATTGCTGTGGGTCTGGATTTACATATAGGCCACGAAAGCAGTTTCCCTCCCTAAAGGACATTAGTGAATCAGGTGGGTTCTTCTGACAATTGACAATATTTCCATGCTCATCATTAGATTCTGAACTCCAGATTTTTACTGAATTCATCTGCCATGACTGGATTCAAACCTGGGTCCCCAGAACATTCCCAGGGTCTCTGGATTAACAGTCCAGCAATTAAGACCGCCAGGCCATCAGCTTCCCAAGTCTAAATCTACTCAGTTTCTTCTATTACTGCAGGTTGAATGATCTTTCAGATTGTTCTTATACCTCAAAAGTTTTCTCAAACTGTACAATCTGCTGAATATCTTTACATGGAAAGCTATGTCAAGTTAATCTGATACAGGGATGATTCTAATGATTTCTTCTGAATGAATGTACAGGCCTTGACCAAAGGAGGTGTTACTTATCATGATGAACCTTATCACAAAGAATGCTTTGTCTGCAACGGGTGCAAGACTCAGCTGGCTGGCCAGCAATTCACCTCCCGGGAGGATTCTCCGTACTGCCTCAAGTGCTTTGGAAACCTGTATGCCAAGAAATGTGCAGCCTGTGCCAAGCCCATCACAGGTAAATAGCTGCATACCTCGACTGTTTGCAACAGTACTCTTCTGGGTATCTGCCAATTTTGACTGAAAAGCAGAATGGCCCGGTTATCTTGCAACAGTGCTAGAATTTCTACAGAATGTTTCTCATAAAACTGGCGCTTAATGCCACATGATAAATCGCTTGAATTCTAATTCTAATTATTGAGAAGTAAGATTGTATCATGATTAAAACTTATTGCCTTCATTGGGAGATCTCCGTGATCTCACTTAAACGTTGTCTGCCAGAGATGTTGACAGAAACATTATTATAATTTAATAATCTAAGTTGATTACTATTTGTTAGTTAATTATTTTGTACTCCAGATTGAAGAACTACAGACCATGGTTTGATTTATCACAATAATTTATACAAGACAAAGACTGTCCATCTTCTCTTTTCTGAGTCAAGAGTCATAGTTTTAAGTCCTACTCCATAAAACTGAACGCATCATCTAGGTTGACATTTAAGTGTAATGCTAACGAGGTGCTGTAGTATCAGAGGTGTTATGGATCTCATTGTCCATCATGGAAAAATATGTGCAAATTGCCTGCTGAATTTCTTACATTAAAAAAGTGATCACTTTTTTAAAGTATTTAATTATCCATAAACTAGTTTGTGGTGTCCTGAGTTCAGGAAAATTGCTACGTCAGTGCAAATCCAGAAAGAGAAAAAAAAGTAAAACTGGCAAATGAGACATATTGGTCCAACATAACTTGAATATTTCAAAATGGAACTCCAGTACATTTGTTTCTGGGTGTTACTGAATATATTCCATGTGGGAAATTGACTCACATTTATATAGTGCCTTTCATATCAACAGTGAGATAACAGATTGTATTTGTGTAGCATCTTTAGCATATTACAAAATCCATAGTCACTCTTTACAAGAACATTATGAAATAAAATTTGACATTGAGCCATCTGAGATATCGAGGAAGATGACCAAAAGAAAGAAATAGGTTTGAAGGAGAGTTCCAATCTGGTTGCCAATTTGTTTGTTTGAAGTTCAGGCAGTGCTATAATGGAGGGTAATCCAATCCTGTCTTGAATTGTGTTGCTAATTCCACAGTCCCACTGGGAAGCTGTGCTCACATAGATCTCTGGATGAAGAAGTGTGGTTACAGCTTTGGAGCCCATCTCTTGCACAAGCTCATTCTATATCCAACTCTGCCACTGGAAACATGGGATCGTCCAATTAACCCTTATTTGTTTTCTGCTAGTTAACAAGTACAAACTCTCATAGCTCTAAAATGTAATAGCAGCGATGTGATGGATGTGAGCGGCTTTATAATTTATAGTCTATGATCATAACTTTGTTTAATGAAAATAATGTTAAGATTCCAAGTATGCCGTAACCTCTTGTGATTGAGGTTTCTGATTGTTGGAGCCTTGCTTGTGTCACACATGGATTTACAGTTACTTTTTCTCATGAAGGCCAGTTACTCATTTGAGGTAGAGTCTGGATGCAAAACCAAAAGTAGGAATTTAACATCAGGATTGTCCCGGAAAAGGGAATCCTGGGCATGCATTAGATGACCAATTTAATGTTGTTTGTTCCCTCTAAGAGATGTGGCTACATACGCACAGCCATTGCAAGGATCTGTGCACAGCAATCTTCTGGTTCTAGACCCTCAGAGGCCCGCACAGCCAGAAAGAGGAAATTAGAGAGAATGCTAATTGTATGTCATAAAAGCATAGGGTCTTTAAATAAAGCAGAAAGTATCATTTATTCAAAACAATCTGAGGTTATTGTGAACCTGATCCCAAACTGGAGTAGGTTTTCCTTTAAGAAAAATCTTTACACTTTTTATTAAAACAGTACAAATAGAAAAGTAAGGCTAAATGTTAAAAAAATCTGTAAAGCCAGGAAGGGAATCTCCATAATATTCAAAAAGGACAATAAAGCATTCTGCAAAGGATACCAGTAAACAGAAGCTCCAAAAATGACTGATTTTGTTGAGATGAGAGGATTGAGAGTTGGGAAAGGATGAGCCAGAGTTGGCAGAAAATTAACGAGCACTTCAGTGTTTATGAAAGAAACTAATATCAAGGAAACTGTGAAATGAAAGGGAAGTTTTGGAGGATTAGTCAAACTAAAGCAGAATAAAGGCACCAGGGTCAGAGCATATACATCCGAGGATCCCGTATTTGAAATGGGGAATAAATGGTGAAAGCTCAAAATGCTGTTTGGAACAGTTGAGAGAGGCGTGTCCTGGACATCTGGAGAGCAGCCACTGTAATGCAGTTTCACAAAGGGCCGAACAGAAATCCAAAGTAAGAGCAGGAAAGTTAGTTTAACATCTTTTCCAATTTGCTTTTTGCAATCTGTAATGAAAGATGAAGTTACTAAATATGTAAACGGAGAAGTAATTAAACCATGTGGATTTTTGATCACACTTGACCAAGTTTTCTGAAGTAACTAATGTGGTGGACTGGGACAGTGCAATAAACATGCTACATTTGGACTTTCAGAAAACTTTTGTTGAATTAGTGAATGGCGAGATAGGAGGACACTGATTAGAATTAAGAATGTTGTGGATGGAGGTGTCCCAAAGTACGTTGCTGAGGGCACCCTTCAATTTTAATTCTACTATTTTAAAAACACGTACTTGGTGACCAAATTCGTACACAACTCAAACATAGGATATTAAGTAAATGGATTCTATAGAGCTATAGAAAACTATAAAGGGTTGTTTGAGATGGTGTATTGGAAATGTAGAGTGGTACATTTTGTTTAAAAAATTATAAAATTGAAGGTAAAATGGTGGATGACATGAAAGAAGAGGTAGTTCACATTCAAAAATGTATAAATAAGGCTATTTTTATAAAAACAAGCTAAAGAAATGCTGGGCTATGTTGCAAGGAGTAGAAGAAAATGTTGAGATATAATTATGACATGATAAAAAAACATTACAACCGCAGTCGTGGTGTTATGTGCAATCTTCAGTTTCACACAACACAAAGAATATAAAGGCTTCAGAGGAGGTACTATGCAGATTTTCAAAAAGGCTGCCTGGTATGAGTAAATATCATTATGAAGAAAGTATTGAAAATTGGGGCTAATTCCCTTGGAAAAGTGACTATGGTATGATTTATTAACATCAAGTGATAAGGGCTGAATTGGCCCCTCCTTTTCAACCTCCTTGGTTGGCTGAAAAAAAGTTTAAGATTCTTTTCTAGCATAAGCCCATCCCTCTCTGTAATGAGAATGCAGTTATCCAATGTGTGCTGTATCCATAAAGAGCCAAAAACAAGGTTTTTTCAGTGTAAACAAAAGCAATTTTATTATCTGATAACTCCAAGAAAAATAATAGACATGATGTCAAGCATACATGCACACTAGTTCAAAGTTTAAAACAAGTTTGGTACGAAAGGGAGAGGAAAGAAATATACAGTTTAAAGAGGCTAGGTTATCCTTAGGTAAGGTTTTAACCTGTGACCATAATTGTTAATTGGTGTTTTGACTCATCAGCCATAGCAAATACATCAGCTGGCCTTTGTGCTCTTGGTGTTCTGATATTACTGTTTGATCAGTTCCATTGCCAGGTACTTTACCTCCTTAAGAGGCCAAGAGAGCACTTTCTCTAGCTAGTCACGGTTGCCCTAGCTTTGCCAAAAGCAGTTCCTTGAAATATAATAAAAATAGAAAGTATTGGAGAAATTCAGCAAATCCGGAAGCATCTGTGGAGAGAGAATCTTAAAGCCAAAGAAGAATCAGATCAGACTTGAAATGTTAACTCCGTTTCCTGTCTCCACAGATGCTGCCAGATCTGTTGAGATTCTCCAGCACTTAGTTTTTTTTTAATTTAGACCCCCAGCGTCGAGCTTGGTTTGTAGACTTCTGTCTTCAGAAGGAATGTGTTTCTTTAGGTTTTTGACTGTAAGTGAAGTCTCATCCCCATTATGTGAAAACTTGCATAATGGTGTAAAGCAGTACAGGCTACTTGCCTGGTGGAGATGACTGTTTTGGTGCTTTCTGATAACATGTTAATTTGGCTCAGATGGTTTTTGTTTATCTTAGTGTTCTCATGACTTGGCCAAGCTATGATCAGGTGATTGCTATGGCTGTTTTGAGTCAGCGTTTTTCCTTTTGTAAAGCTATTGCTGTGCATGGAAGCCTTGGGCATGAAAATCCAATTACTGTATTTCAAAATCAGTAGCACACACTTTTATTCTTATTGTGACAGTGCTTTAAACTTTGTAACAAAGTAGAAAAACTTTAGGCTGAATTTTAACAGAAATCGGCTAAGTGTCAATTTTGTTGAGTTTCATGGAGGATTTCTATCCATGATTTTTTTCACATGATTCGTCGAAACTTGCCTCAGTACCCATACATAATACCAAACAGAGTCTCACTCATCCTATGCACAATCTCACCAGAGGTGAGAGCACTCATCAGTGCCAGGGAATCCTGTGATTTCCAGTGCCAGAACCATTTCTAAAGCCCACCTGTGTACCACTCAAACGTTGCCAGCTGGGAGCTGCCCTTCACCATGCACACAGTGAGGTGGGGTGGGGGGTGGGGTAGGTAGGGGAGGTGCAGCCAAAAAGAATTGTTTTTCAGGCACAGCTGACATTTCATTGCGAATACAAGTGCACATTCATAACTGTACTGGAATTTAAGAACCAAAGTAAACAACTTATCCACCCTTAATATCACCCCTCTCTAAGGGACTGCTTCTCTTCCCCCAGTGCCAACTATTGTGCAGCAGTGTTCTGACCCTCATTCTACCCAAGGTAGTTCTGACCATCAATACCTGCTAGCCCATACACACCCCGCACCCCTTAACCTGAGATCTCCACTGTAATATTGTTTTTCTTCTTTATGTCTTGAATTTTCCCCCTCTGTATTCCAGCATTCTGCCTCCAATCCTTACAATTGATTCCCCAAGCTCCCCACTAGAGCAGGGGCCACTGATTTAGCATCCATTCCTCACTCACCGCCACCTACAGCTGACTGTAGCCCACCCCCTCTGAATGACTTGGATGATTAATGAACCCCGACTGATAGATGATGAGACCACTGACTGATCTCTGTGCAGGTCTCTGACTGTTGTGCTGTGATTTCCCTGACTGGGCCTGCAACATTGACCGTGGCCCATTCCTCAGACTCCACTACACCTCCAATTTTGGTGTCATCTCCAAACTTACTAACCGTCTCTCTTGCTCTGTTTTCACATGACTTTATTCTCATATCTTTCAACCAGCTATTTAACCTATTTTAAAATGTTGGCATGATCTCTAATGCAATCATTAACTCTGACGTATTTACAACTTCACAATCATCCATGTAAAAGTCTTTCTCCATGTCTTATACCTTTCTAAATTAATTTTACATTTGTGTTCCTGCATTTTGGATTCCAAAGTGTTTGGAAATAGTGAGTGGAACGTTCCCAGCTATTGCTTAGTTCGTTGGGCAAATAGGTTGCAGTTGGCAGGAATGAGATCCTTGATGTTGAGAGAAAAAAGTTCTATTTTCCAACAAGAAGGTGTTTGGTATGCTTGCCTTTATTGGTCAGTGCATTGAGTTCTGAGGAAGGGTCACCAGACCGGAAATGTTAAATTTGATTTTTCTTCACAGATGCTGCCAGACCTGCTGAGCTTTTTCCAGCAACATCTGTTTTTGTCCATTGAGTATAGGAGTTCGGAGGTCATGTTGCAGCTGTACAGGACATTGGTTAGGCCACTATTGGAATACTGCATGTAATTCTGGTCTCCCTGCTAATAGGAAGGATGTTGTGAAACTTGAAAGGGTTCAGAAAATATTTACAAGGATTTTACCAGGGTTGAAGGGTTTTAGCTATAGGGAGATGCTGAATAGGCTGGGGCTATTTTCCCTGGAGTGTCGGAGGCTGAGGAGTGACCTTATAGAGGTTATAAACTCATGAGGGGCATGGATAAGGTGAATAGACAAGATCTTTTCACCGGGGTAGGGGAGTCCAAAACTAGAGGGCATAGTTTTAAGGTGAGAGGGGAAAGATTTAAAAAACGACCTAAGGGGCAACTTTTTCAGACAGGGTGGTGCGTGTATGGAACAAGCTGCCAGAGGAAGTGGTGGAGGCTGGTACAATTACAACATTTAAAAGGCATCTGGATGGGTATATGAATAGGAAGGGTTTAGAGGTATGTGGCCCAAATGCTGGCACATGTGATTAGATTTATTTAGGATATCTGGTCGGCATGGACGAGTTGGACCAAAGGATTGTTTCCATGCTGTATATCTCTAAGACTCTATATGTAAGATTAGGGCGTCTGAATGTGAAGAATGAATAACCCAGCAGGAAGTGGTTGGGCTGTTTCAATGTTATAATTCTTTTGCGTAAATCCCAAAATGTCATTGGACATCAATGCGATGAGATTGCACAGGCTGTTGACATATCTGGTCTGATATAAAATAATCTCCTTTGTGCTTTAAACTGAGGATTGTGCTGTTTGAAGTGATCCAGTCTCAAATGAAACCCAGGAAGACATTGCATCATCCTTCTTACTCTGCTTTTGCTCAATTTGAGATTAATTTTTTGCACATCATGCACTGGATATCAGCCAACTATGGAGCACTTTCACCTTACAACCGTGCCTTGTAACCATTTAGTTCATTTCTGTGGAGGGTCCAGCTATTATGGATTTGGCCGGTAACTCGTCTCCATGACAGCTTGCGCACAAAACATTTTACTTCAACATACCATAACTAAAGTCTGCAGAAGGTAATTAAAATGTCATATTCTGACAGCAGCCCAATGCTTTTTAACTGTAAACCTGCTGGACTTGCAATCTGGAGAGACCAGTTTCTGAATCATTTTTCTGTTGATTCAAGTTAGCCATGTCAAGCTTGGGGAAATGGTGCAGTGTGCTCACTCTATTACATTGTATCCTAACCATAATCACAAACTGCCATCTAGAATCAGAGAATTCCTGTAGTGCAGAAAGAGGCCATTAGGCCCATCGAGTCTGCACTGACCCTGCGAAAAGCATCTGACCCAGACTCACCACCTCCCTCCCCATCCCCGTAACCCCACATGACTGTGGGAGGAAACCAGAGCACCCGGAGGAAACCCACACAGACATGGGGAGAACATGCAAACTCCACACAGACAGTCGCCCAAGGCTCAGATCAAACATGGGTGCCTGGCGCTGTGAGGCAGCAGTGCTAATCACTATGCCACCGTGCTGCCCTCATGTCTACTGTCTTTGCATGATATTAGTATGTCTATCCCTCAGACTGACCAGCTTACTCTGGGTCATCATTTTCTTTAGGGTCCTTATAAGCCATGAGACAGCAAGGACTTTAATTTCTTTATTCTAGATTTGGAATATACTTCATCCAATTTGAAACCTCACTGCAGGCACATGGAAGTTAGAAATCAACTGTGCACATTAACTGTGTTTGAACTCTGTTATGTTCATAGTTCTTTCTTGCTTGTAATTCTGAAGTAGGTTTGTAAACTGAGTTAGCAACATTTCACCCATTTCTAGACTGGGTAAAGAAAGCCTGGCATCTTAACTTGGTCAATTAGTCAGTTAAATAGAGGGAGGTCTGAGGTTCGTGGCTGAAAGAGGAAAACAGGTAGCCGGAATTTTTTTTTGCAAAAGAAAATCTCTGTATTCAGGTGCCAAGAGTCAACACAATCCTATTTGTTACTTTAATGTTTTAGTCAGTCATTTATCGTAATCTCTGGTCTTTTTGAGTTCCAAATTTTTAATGATTCTGCTAATCCTTTGCTTTTACTAGAAAGCTATCGTTCTGATATCTGATTCGTTTTCTGTTTGGAAAAAAGACTCCCAGCTGAGACAAAAGGTTCAAAACTGTAGCAAACTGCACCTGCAGGCATATTCTACCATATTCACAGGAATATCAGAAACGCTTCTGTCACAGTTGAAAGGATTTCATGTGGCAGAAATCAGCAAGATAAATGTCCCAATGTTTTTCTTAGTGAAATGCCAAAACACTGGAGTTAAAGCTTTGATGAAAAACCTCTTGGGGATCAAATATTCTGTGATAATGTCGTATGGCACACACAGCAGTATCTGTTTAATTTAAACAATAATACAGGGCTCTTAACAGTAATAGCATCAACAATGAATATTGGAATGCTGACGAGCAGCTCTCCAAGGCCTTTTGATCTGCAAACACAAAGCTTTATAAATTAGGACACCGATTATATTATGACTCTTTGATTAATAACAAGAGTGCTGGTCTGTGCAATTATTATTAGGCCACTTAGAAAGTTTTCATGGGATTACCTAGATAACTCTGTGATTTGCAGTTATGTGAAATGTGTGAATTATAGTTTAAGCAAGCAGCCTACTTGCTAACACATCCAAATACTTGCAACTATCAGCTTAGCCCGGTACTTAACGGATCTTAACTACTCCCTGTGTGTTGTGCAGTTATACATAGTCAATGCTGGGAATATGATGAGATGGAAAAAGGTTTTAAGAGGTCAAGTATTAAAATATAGGGGTGAGCAATCAACAAAATTATAATTTTGACATAGGAGGAATGGAAGAATTCCTTAATTCTCTAGTATTTGAACTTTGCAAGGTAACTTCCCCACTTCAACTGAAGCCTTCATTTTTCTGACAGGAAAGGAAACAAGTTCAGTAAGTAGAGGAGCTAGTGTCACCAAGAAAGCTTGACTGACAGTCTAGGAACGCTGGGCCAAACTCAGCCAGGCAGCTGAAAGGACACCGTAATTGAAATTAATCCTTTCGAGCAACGGCAAATAATCTGCCACAATTTTTCCGTTTTGGATAATCTTCATCAATCCTGCTGATGATGATACAACTTTTTTTAGTATTTGGCTTGATTGCTCCTTCGGTCCTGTGCCCCAGCTGTCTGGGTAGAGTTCAACCCTAACCAGACTCACATGAGGAATGGCTATTTGGACAAGGTAACCCAAGAGATACTGACAGTCAAGAATTCTCCCTTTATACCTTTAAAAGGGAACGTGGGGGAGAACTTGGGAGAAAACAGCTCTTAAAGTCAAGTTGTAAAAGCTCAAGCCTATGTGCCTTAGTAATCCTATTAGTTGGCTCAGCAGATTTTTCTGAAATATGGTCATTCAATTGGGAATCCATTGAATTTCCCTGAAAAGGAAGAAAAGCTAAACGATGATATCAACTTTTTCACAGAATCCTACATAATGAGGTGGTTGAGACTCTCAATTCTTTGTATACAATGACTTAACATCCTACAATTTTTCTACAGAATGGTCAATATGGATCAAAATAGTTGGAATGCACTGTATGATAATTATAATTGAAATTGTAGTCCCCTCTCATGTTTGCCACAGGAAGCAATTATGCAATCGCATTTCCCCTTCTCCATCTCTCCCTTAAGAAGTTCTCAAATGTGGAAAGGTCATCTGGTTGCACAAACTTGAGGTGCAGGTCCAGCGTATGTGGAGTGTTATTATGGGAGAGAGTTTATCTTTTCACTTTGAAACAATTCTGTCTGAATTCAGAGTACACAATACAATTAGGTAACAATTTTCTAAAATGCCTCTTTTTTTTATTTCTCTGAAGGTTTCGGAGGTGGCAAATACATTTCCTTTGAAGATCGCCAGTGGCACCAGAGCTGCTTCACCTGCTCACGATGTTCAGCCTCGCTGGTGGGGAAAGGATTTTTCCCTGAGAAGGATGATATTCTTTGTCGTGAATGTAACAGTGACTTATGAATTGACCACTGACACAAGTTCCACTCTTCTTGTATTTTTCTACTCTCAAATTGCACCAGTGCAGCTTTAGGCCATTTAAAGCACAGTGTGTCTCTGCAAATGCCTATCCTTTCACACTTTTCTAATGACGTTTTGTACATGTCTAAACTTGTACAATAAAGATTTAACACATTACTTGCTCTCCCTAATGCCTTGCTACCTTGTCGGTGAAGCTCAGAAACTCTCTAGGGAAGATGAACAACAGTAAAGTTAGTCTTTCAGTCATCAAGTGGGGCATCAAAATGTTGCTTATTCTATAAAATTATCTAGCATAGTCATATCACACATCTAAAATACTCAGCAGTATAACATTCCAAACAGTTCAATAATTTAAAGGCATAGGGACTAAACTACAAATTCGGTGAGGTATAAATGGCCAATATCAACATCTTGCATGTTACCATTGGTTTTAAATAAGCTGTGTGGACATTTTTTCACCCGTCTGCAGCAGATAGACATAGAGTCATGAACAGAGATCTTTTGGCCCTGAGGTAGGGACACTCCCACTGCACCACAAGCGTCCCTTACCTTGCACATGAAACTCTTGCCTATAGGACATCCTGCCTGATTTTACTTTCTTACCAGGAAAGGTAAATTAGGCTGGTGCAAATAATAATCAATCAATCCAATACCACTTATTTCGTAACCTTTCCCAAGTTCAGATGTTACCGAACCATTCAGTCATGAAGGACTCCCATTTGAGCCCTGCACTGTGCTGAACTTGCTGATCTCAATCATGCACAAGGGAGTTTGAAAATGAGCCAAGGCCCTTACTATTGATCACTTTCTGGAGATGTGGAGGTACATGTTTGCGGATGTCAGAAGATAGAATTGGACTTGGACTTCATCCCCAAAACCAGCCCCTGAAATTCACTGACTAGAGCCACATGTGAAGAATGGTAACTTAATAAGATATTCAAAAATCCCAACGAAACCATTTGCAGAATGAAACATAGTCTTCAAAAGAGGAAGGATGAGGTAGAGTGCTTCAGCGTTTTGTGAGAAATTTTCACTTTGGAGCTGAGTGGGTAAATCTTGAATAAATGTTGAACTGGCTCCTCGATGTTCACTTTGCTCCAACTGGTTTTCCCAGGGTTTGGCTACATTTCTGGATGCAAGCGACCAAGTAGCAGGCAACAAATTGACACCAATATAATCCCAATTAATTGGCATTTTCCAAGGGAAGTGGTAGTTTCCCAGAGGTGCATGAGATGCCTATTACATTGGTTACTCATTTCTAAATAAAAGGCAAGAGGACTTCAGGAGGTCAGAAAGATCGCTACGTACGTAGGTTCCATTCAGCACATCTGCAGGCAATGCTTTCAAGTGGATGAGATTCCCCTGCTGGTGGATTATCTTATTCCTGGGAATTGGGTTTGGGTTGCTGGTTCCAGCATTAACAGTGCATCTCCATCTTGTAGCCTCCTATTCCATTTACCTGAGCCCCACACTCATTCTGTCCAATGGCCTTTCCTTCAATCATTTCGATGGCCCTTCCCATCTGTCTCCCCTCTTCCTAACTGGACAGCACTTGGGGATGTTGCTTCTTAATTGGCCACTGACCACATTACAGGTCAGAAACAAAAACAGAAGTTGCTGGGAAAGCTTAGCAGGTTTGGCAGCATCTGTGAAGAGAAATCCGAGTTAATGTTTCAGGTCTGGTGACCTTCCTCAGAACATCAGAGGTCATGCTGTTGAAACAAGTGGGGTCAGATCCCAAAAATGGTCCTGACTCATTGCAAATTTTTCCAGTGAAGAGCATTCTGTCCTTTTGTAATGCCTTTTTTCTAGCCCATCCTGTCAGGATGTTGCAGTGTTTGTTTTTGTGACTTATCTCATTGAGTAAATGAGCAATGAGGTAATTGATTTTCATTCAACTAGGTCGCTCTGAACTTGGTGGAAGGCTTTTTTCCCATTTGGTGAAAAGCAAGAGAATGGTAGGAGTGGAATACCCTGAGCATCATACATCATACATCAAGGTGGATGGGTTTGTCTGTGGATCTCTGAAGAGACTTGTGACAGCAAAAGTGTCCAGCAGAGAGAGACCAGGGACAACAGAGCGAGAGAGCATTATTTTATGCAGTGGAGGGGAAATTCAGGACCGATATCTAGAACTTTATCGCAAAATGGTGATAATTATTTGGAATCTATTGTTGGAGATGTAGTTAAGACTCAACAGTAGATTGGTGTGTAAGAAACCATTAGATGATGTAACAGAAAAGTAGTAGGATAAAACAGAGAGCTGAAGATCTGAAACAAAAACAATTTACTTGAGAAATTCAGCAGGTCTGGTAGCATTTGTGGAGAGAAAGCAGAGTTAAAAAGTTGAATAGGGTTTAATGCAAAGAAAAATAGGATTGGTTTTCTGAAAGGATGACAGCAAATGACTGAAAAGGACGTGTTTATTGAAATCTATCTTCTGAGAAGAATCACCTCCATTGTTCTTCTGTTGTGCAACAGATGTGAGCTCCTCCTTATCTACAGTACATCTTGTCATCAGGGCCATTGCAAATCAGATGTTTGAGGTGTCCACTAAGTAGATTTTCAGAATCAGTTACATTGTTAATTAACACAGATCAACCAGAATTTACATTAACTCATTCACTAATAAGGCACCTTATGTAACTTTCTCTTGGTTCTTATTAGAAAGGCACAGAATATTTTGGAACAGCCGTAAAAGACAGAAATAAATTGTTATGTGGTGGATGACCATGATCCTTGGTCTACAAGTAGCCCAGTTTAATCTCCCATTTTCCCTGCTCCAAGGATCAATTATCTCCAGTCACTTGATCATTGCTCACTTGATCACCACTAATTCCAGTTGTGGGATTCAAATGGCTGTTCAGCTGGAATAACCCCAGCCATTATGCAACACTTGTGCTGACAATAAGCTGACTAATTTGGGCTACTTGTTAAAATCAAAATGGAAAGTTGAGCATGTCATACCTGTCAGTATTTACAGAAAATGCAAGTGATCTCAGATGGGTTTGGCCATTATTTGACTGGGGGCATGAAATGGCTCAGTTGTTTCAAAAATGCTCAGAAATGCCTGGTTGCACTTGCCACTGCATTGATTGGACAAATAGACCAAGTAACAAGAAAAGGAGACAGACTGTTTTACACCTTATATGGAAAGTCTCAGTCTGTTTGCACAAGATTTAATGTTGAGACGACAAGCTGTGTTTGGAATTTTGCATCTCTCATAATATTGAAATAGAAGCAGTTATGCTTTCCCATATATGTCTTGACTATAATCTGAGAGAGAGGGTGCACCTTGTGGGTAACGTTTACTGTTGAGTTAATCAAAGGTATTGCTATTAATCAGTTTCCTTAAGACTGTACATTTAACTGAGTTAATTGGGACATATTTGGAAATCACTATAAGCAAAACTTGAATACGAGCAGAGTTGTGTAATACAAATTGTGGTTCAGCTGTGTTTTGTCAGTAATTTTAAAGATATTATTTGAAGACAAAATCTAGAGTTTATTTCCTTTTATTTTAACCACATGCGCAACCTCCTGCCCATATTGAGCACCCTATTTACTGACCACTATACAAGATACGCTATTACATTTTGGTGACAGTTCACGATTAAGTTACATTTCAGTTGTTGAAAAGTAGGTGGAATAAAGGATTGCAAATATGAACATCCCTGCAGTGTTACTGGCTTCATTCTAAAGGCTTACTGTAAATATGAAGCCCCATTTATACCAAATGGATTAGAGCTGATAGATTTTCAATTGCACCCTGTCTTAGATTCTAGGGTTTGTGTCTTGGTGTTCACATGTACAGCTACAGTTCGAATATATCACATCCATTATATTATTTATCATTACAATTGTTTTTGAAGAAAATCACAAATGCTCCCAACCTGACATTCTGTACAATGGTGAATCCCCTGGCAGCAAAAAGTGATGGGCAGCAAGTATTGAGGATTCAATTTTGAAGTTTATGACTGGTTTGTGAATCTTTCTTGGAGGGTACATTTGTGTGATGCTGTATCTGTGAGATGGATATTAGCAGGTGGGAGCACATGATGAAGTTGCTTAACATTGGTCTATTGGTATGGCGCTACTGATGCTTTAGAATGGCATTCAGTGTGGGTATTCCATTCACATTGTTGAAAGAAGAGGCTGTGTAGTGAAACGGCACTGAATTGTTGCAAACAACACAAAATAATTGATAATCCAGTATCTTTCATTTCATAGAGAATAAGAGTGATTACTCAAATAGTGCAGCGGTCATCTTGCTATATAGATCCAGGACAATCTTAGTGTCTAAGCTCAGATGCCCTCAGCAAACATGCTAGAGAGGGAATAATTAGCCTGCGAGCCCATTTCTAATTACTGTAGACGACTGTTATTGGGAGTAGCAAGTGAGGACAGGATTGGGTGTGATGTAATCAGATGCGCATTATTAATATGCAAGGTTATCTTAGATGAGCTGATTGTATCATTTTTGTGGAGACACATCGACTGAAGGAGTGTAATCAATAAATAGCATTCATACTCAACCGTACCATGGATGTAAGGTTAGCTCCTTTAATTCGGAAAGATTGTTCCCATTATCTCTGGGGGTGACCAATCTCCAGTGGGTTTTTTCCTGCCTAAGTCCTTTCAGCACCCCAGGATATTCAATTTGATTGTCCATCTAAACGACAGGCTTAGGAAGAGCTAGCTCTGCCAACACTGTTCATTCCTGTTAGTATTGTTAACAGAGAATGAGAATGATAAAACAAGAGATGGCAAGACCCGAAATCATGCTATTTAAAGGCTGTCTAATTTCTTGCCTGTGGTGTCTTAGTGATGGTTGCCATGCAATGGTTCATACATTCCAGCTTGTTATACCCATTTAAAGTTCTCTTCATGTTACCACTAAAAATGTGTAAAATTGCCAAACATTGTTGGTGTGTGCATTTTTTATTTGTTTCTCTTCTAATAGTGTTTTCTTGTTTTTAATATGTGATTTGTAACCTAATACTATTGAAAGTGGTGGGCCAGTCCCACAAGTCACAAGAGTTTACATATAACAGAATGTTATGCATGTTTCTTTTATTAATCACCAAAGCAAAGTTCATATATAACACTATTGTAAAAGCTTTGATGCTGGTAAGTCAGAGTATACTGTGTATTGATTAACAAGTGAGCTGTGATCAGCAGCATGCAATGTCTGCTTTATAGTGTAGTTGTCCTGTCTGACTTACATTTTCATTTATGTGTTTCTAAAACGCTTACACAATAAAAAAAAATAAACAGCAGCTTCTTTTGGCTTTGATTTTGCTCTTTTATGCACTACACTGTCCATCATTGTGCATTTGACACCACAGTATCTTGGTTGGTATATGCACTGCTGTGATAGACCCAGGTTTGATCTTTGGTCCGTGCTGGGTACATCACTAGCATTACTGAGTATGGTCTCCATACCACTGGGTTGCTAAGAAAGTGAAAGGTCCAATTCCTCAACAATGGAAAATGCATACGAGGATGTGGAGAATGAGGACTGATTGTCTGTTCCAATTCTGGATGATTATACATTCCCAATTTGTACTGGCGGTTGCCAGTTCAGCCTGATAAGGGACTAAGCCCTGGAATTCCATCCCTAAATTTCTCTTCCTTTAAGACCCATCTTAAATTTTATCTCTTGGCAAAGCTTTTGGATAATGACTCCAATACTCCTTTTATGGCCCAATATGAAAACTTGGTTTATAACATTCTTAAAAGTGGTGAACAATTGTCATCTCAGCTGAAATGTTAGCAATCGTTGGCTGGATTCACATTAGAGTGTCAACTTTAAATGAAATACTGCAGCTTTTGCCTAAAGCACTCCTACTTAGCCAGATGAACAAGCAAGAGCTGAAAATTTGACAGTTATTTCATTTTTTTATATGTGCTTGATGTCAAACATTGACATCAATGTTATCCTTTAGAACCTTTACATTGTTTGGCTTTGATATTCATTCATTTATCAGTCATTGTGCTGCTTGTTCCTCTGCATTTATAGCAACTTTCTTTGACTGAGTAGAAATTCAACATTTTCCAAAGCTTCAATTTTTTAAAAACGTTGCATGTCTAATGTTCACAATTTATATATGTTTGGAGTTTAATTAGACTTGTGTAATTTAAATAATTGACTCTGAATCTTACTATAATAAGAAAAATGGAGATTTTGAGTCCATTCCTTAGTTTCTTTCCTAATAATTTGACCAGTAAATGTAATGCCTGTCAGCATTATTAGCTATAAACATCAGGAGATCACTGGTTTAGTCTTTGCACTTGTTTATTTGCTCTTAGCCCAGGGAGTGATTCCAATGTTAGGATTAGCACAATCAGCTGGCCTGGGAAGGGGGCAAAATCAATTGGGATCACGCAATCTCCCCTTTGGAAAGCGAATGCACGTGGATGGAAAGAGCAAATTACTGCAGATGCCAGAATGTGTACTGAAAACAAAAAATGTTGGAGATCACACCGTGTCAGGCAGCATCCATGGAGAGAGAGCAAGCTAACATTTCGAGTCTATATGACTCTTCATCAGAGCTGAAGTGAAGTGTGGATGGGAGTTGGTTGGAGTGCTGGGGGAGAAAGAATGTTGATAGTTCAGACTAAGAGATTGGTATGTGAGAATGGCAGAACAATCGTGTGTCTAACTGCCTGACCTGAAAGAACAGACAGTCTCACTGGGGTGAGGCGAGGGGAGAGAGGACATGATAACAGAGAATGTGACAAGAAGAGGAAGGGATAGGCTCACAATTTGAAGGCGTTGAACTCAATATTAAGCCTGGAAGGTTGTAAAGTGCCCAGTTTAAAGATGAGATGTTGCTCGTCCAGTTTTCGTTGGAGCATTGCAGTATGCTGAGGACACACGAGTGTGGTTGGAAGGCTGGGCATGAGCAGCTGATACCAAATAATAGACTTCTGAGTAGCAGCCTCTTCAAGATCAAGCAAAAACTAAGACCTCTCTGTATTTTTAAAAAGTGGAGTTGAAAACAGATTCAGAAACAGAAATAAAATGCAAAATAGTGAATCTTTGCCAACTGAAATCATGAAAAGTTGAGGTCTTTTTAAACAAGGGATATAGAACTACCCAGACTTATGGGTTGTCATGAGCCACGGTTTTGAAATGAAAGTTTAAATAACAGATAAATTGTTGCAAATTATGCGTAGATTATGTTTGAATGAATACATTCTAGTGAAAATTGCTCAAGTCCTTTTGGACTGTGGTAGTTTATCTGTGGTGCAAGTAAAACAGAGCAAGCAAATTCCTGCAGATACTGGCAACAGAGGATCTTAATGATCCGACAAAAAGCAACCCAAAAAAAAAAATTTTCATGGTGCTGGAAGTCTGAAATATAAAGCAGGAAACGTTGCAAAGATCCGGAAGCTTCACAAGAATGCCGATGGTTAGGGATTGAAGCTCAGGTGCGACCACCAGCCTTATGGCAATTAAAATCTCCCAGCATTACAGAAACCTTCACCAGAACTTCAAACTATTACAGATCAGTAACATTTAAAAAGAACAGAAGAAGTAAAGAATTTATGGGGATTGGGGGTGGGGGTGGGTGGGTGGAGTGTGGATGGAAATGAGGGATACCTACAAAAGAAGAAACAAAAGATTTTTCGAAATGAATTCTCTTTCTTCTCTCCAGGGTATGCTTTCTCATTTCCACTTCCCTTTGTAAAGGAGTCCACCTGAAATTTATTTCAGGTCTCAGGAAACGTCTGAATTTGTAACATGAACACATTTGTTCTTACCACAAAAACATAACTAACTTGATGACTGGTTCCAACACGAGCTTATGCTAATTATCTGATTTTATTCAGAAGGCAGCATAACATTCCCTCAGTAAGAGACACTGCAGTCATGGAAATTTGGAAAGCAAAGAGCAAAATTCACTTCCAATGTAGCCTTTCTTAGCACGATCCAGACAATTTCTAGGGGTGATTTTATGGGCAAGTGGGATAAGATAAAGATACACTTGCATCTCCTGGTCCAGTCCCAGAACTGTCCTGGTCTATGGAAGCTGTCATCCCATTCCAAACAAACATTCACCTTCCAGGCCAATGATAATGGAGTCCATACTTCCTGTACATTCATGAAGGGAGCTGAGAATGTGTTTGGAGGTTAATGCCTTGATCATTGGGACTTGTGAGAGGTGCAGTAATTGGGACTAAACTGTTAATTGATCATGGCTAAATGTTAAACACTTATGGTTAAAGGTTAATGGTTGAACCATGTATATAAAAAAAAAGTTGGAGGAGATTTAGAATGACAGTCTCCTTAATCCAAGAAAAATCCAGGGGTGACCAAGCTAGGTGGATTAGCCATGGGATATACAGGGTTACAGGGATAAGGTAGAGGAACTGGTTCTGGGTGGGAGGTTCGGTATGGACTGGGGCTGAATGGCTTGCTTCCACACTATAGGGATTCTATGAATAACTACCAAGCATAAGTGAAAGAAGCCGTGTCATAATGATGTCAGATGGCACGAAACTATAGCCTATGGCTGTAAGGTTGCAAACACATGTCCTCTCTTACTGCACCTTGTAAATATTTATGTTAATAAAATTTGCTCAAGTTCACACATTCTACATTGGATAGCAGGAACCCAACTGAATGGTAGATGGTCAGTTGGGTGGACTGAAGTGAATGGTGAATGGGATAAAGGCAGGTTTTGTCTAAGATTTCCTTGAAGAGCGTAGAAAAGGCATCTTGCTCTACAGGCTCACAAGAAAACCCCTTTTCCTTTAAACTGCTTCTCCTAACCTCATTTGTAACCATGCCTCCACATGTTTTACTTTTCCATGCAGGCCTGTGCTTAAGTTTGTAGTTGGATCCTAACTATATACATTAAACGAGGAGCAAGGCTACACCACTTGGCTCTTCAGGCCATCAAGACCATTCAATATGACCAGGGCTGATCTGACTTTAACCTCAACTCTACATTTCTGCATATCCCCAGTAACCTTTCATCCCCTCGGTCAGCAAGAATCTGTCCACCTCTACCTTAACAATATTAAATGATTCTGTATCTACTGCCTTTTGAGGAAGGGAATTCCAAAGACTCTTGACTCTCAGAGAGCTAAAATGTTTCCTCATCTCCCTTTAATTTTAAACTATGGTCCCTCGATCCTCCCACGAGAGGAAACATTCTTTCAACATCCACCCTGTCAAGTCCCCTCAGGATCTTACATGTTTCAGTACAGTCAGTCTGACTCTTAAACTCCGGAGGGTACAGGACTAACCTGTCCAGCCTTTAACATATGCTCATTCCAGGAATTAATCTGGCAAACCTCTGAATTGCTTCCAACATATTAACATCCTTCTGTAAGTACAGTAACCAGTGCTGTATTTAGTACTCCAGTTGCAGTCTCACCAAAACTCTGCATAACTGAAGCACAACCTCCCTCTTCTTGCATTCAATTCCACTCTCAATAAAACAATATTCTATTAGATTTCCTGATTACTCATTGTACCTGCATACTGACCTGTGGTTCATGCACTAGGATACCCAGATCTCACTGCATCTCAGACTTCTGCAACCTTTCATTATTTAAATATTATGTTTCATTTTTACTTTCTGTGGGATTGGAATGACAGGTCAAAATTCACCAATTCCTGATTTCCACGGAAGTTTAAAAATCCCCTCTCTATCTCTCATAACTTCTCTCCTCCTCTCTTATCCTGCTGCGTGGATGTGGGCTATTCTCATTGTTTCTGATCAAATAATTCCCACAGGTGGTTATTACCGGGTCAACAGTGCAACCTCTCTCAATAATTCTTTGCTTTCACATGAGAAATTCCCATTTGCTTCACGTAAGCATCTGATAGAAATTGTTTTCAATTTTCAGCTGTCAATCAAATACTTTTGTAGTATGTAATTTAATGCTTTCACGCCGAGGCTGTCAATCAAACTTAATACTTGCACTGGGCTGGTAATGTGATGCTGCACAAAGTCTGATTGATTTAGGGCAGGTCTTCTTCACCAGAAGGTGTTTACACTTAGTTCCAGCCAGAATGAGATAAATTTGATCTGAAATAGAAACGGAGATTGGGAACCTAAAAACAAATGGAGGAATTGGAGAATAGAAAGAGATATGCTCAATGTTGGTTTAGCATTGTGTTATGTTTGTAATACCTAAAAAAAGTCATAATAACTGTGGAGACAGGATATAGAACTACCTTAAGGAATCACCTCGATATTTATTGCAATGCAGATGTGTCGTCGTCAGTTTAAAACAAGTATGTGCTTTTCATTGTCAC